TGTGCGCAGTTTCAGTGATGTACTCAAGTTGCGGTCTGCAAGGAGTGTTTTCCATTTAATAAATGCTTGCCTTGCTTGTTCAATTCTGCTCTTGATTTCGACTTCATGGTTCAACTGATCGTCAATGATTACACCAAGGTATTTAAATCGGTGTACTTGTTCCAATTTTTCGCTGCCAAGTTTGATTGTTATTTCGCTTGTAGTTCGGCTGACCTTCATAACCTTTGTTTTCTTTTTATTAATTCGTAAGCCCCATATCTGACTCTCTGTGGCAACCTCGTCCAAGATTTGTTGTAGGTCTTGTTCCGAATCGGCCAGCAGTGCAGTGTCGTCGGCATACCTGACGTTGTTGATGTATTATCCATTGACTTTAATACCAATGTTTTTATCTGCTAGTGTTCGATCAAAAATCTGCTCCGAGTAGATGTTGAAAAGACTGGGTGAAAGTGGGCAGCCTTGTCGTACACCTTTTTGTATTGGGGTTGGGTCTGTCGATTCGTTGTCATATCGGAGTTGGGCTGTTTGCTTCCAATAAAGAGCAATGATGAAGTTGATGTTGTTTTTATCTAGTCCCAGTTGTTTTAATAGAGCTGCTAGTCGGTCGTGGTCTACTGAGTCAAAGGCTTTCTCGTAATCTATGAAGCAGATGTACACTTCTTTCTGATGTTCGTAGCATCGCTGTAGTAGTATCTGTAGACAGAAGATTGCTTCTCTTGTGCCTAGTCCTTTGCAGAAGCCAAACTGTGTGTTCTTCAATGCATTTTCGCATGTGGAGCGTATGCGCTGTTGGATCACCTTCAGGAAGACTTTCAGCACGTGGCTCATCAAGCTTATCAGTCTGTAGTCCTCGCATTTCCGGCCTTTTGCTTTCTTTGGTATGGCCACAAAGATGGATTGTAGCCAGTCGGATGGAATTTTATTGCCATTGTATATTTGATTGTACCAGTTAGTCAGTTGTCGTATGTTGTTACTGTCTAATAGTTTTAGCAATTCTACATGGATTGTGTCGGGCCCGCACGCTTTGCCTGACTTAGCTGTTTTGATTGCATGTTCTACTTCTGATGTTAAAATGTGTAGAGCGTCTTTCGACATCTGTTGGTCTTTTTCTGCAGGTGTTCTCGCGGCGCCAAAGAGCTTGTGTATATAGTTTGTCCAGGTGTCCATTTTTTCTTGTTTATTTAGGATTGGTTGGTTGTTGTCCGCATACAAGGTAGCTGTTGGGGCTGGTCTGTAGATGGTACCAGCTTCTTTGAGCTTCTTGTGCAGAGTAAAATTGTCATGTTTTTTAATTAATGAAGATAAAAATGAACTTTCCTACATGTTAGGCAATTTATATTTCTACCCATAAATGTTCTCGTTAACTAACACTGAGCAATCCCCCTATCCCTGGTCTTCCCTTCGTATGCTGGTTATCTTTCCCTCCCCTACCCCCTCCCATATCAAATCTTCACTCTTCCCCCTACGCGGGGTCCCCACTTGTTTGGGGTAGCAGGCCCTATTTCACCCCTGCTATGAATGTTCTCGAGGCATCGATCGGAAATTTCCACGTGTTTTTTTGTCCCTCTCCTATTGAACATTGACGGGTTGTACTGGGCCCACGTTTTGTTGTCGAAATAAAAAATATATAACCAAATATATAACACTGAGCAAGATTTGAACAACTTCTCTTGATTGCTTTCAATGTACCCCCAGTCTTGTTCAGACATATACAAGCAGGATGTCTGTCTTTGCCCAGATATTCAGAACCTCTGCTCAAAGACTGTATCACTTCAATAGCATGTTATAATTTGTTCCACTCAGCATAGAAATATGCTTGATAGACATCACCTTCCATTTAAAGCTCACTCACCTCCGATTAACATTCTTTTATTCACGTAAAGTATTGTACCACTGCCAAACTTTTAATTTCACAATCACCTCTGAATGAATAAAAAAATAAAACTCGTCAACAACACTGCTTTATAAGAAAAATATATATATAATCGGCAACGTTTCAGGAAATGGCCCTTCTTTGTAGCACCTTTCAATGAACGACTCAACAGAATATATAATGCCACTGCTGTCAAACACCTTTGGTCACTTCATCCAGGGTTCAGGACATCACGATGTAAGGACATGGCTCCCTTTCCTCTATTCATCTTCCCCAAACTCCTCACCCTTTTACATCATCCCCCTTGCCACCTCATTATTTCCTCCACCCCCTCAATTACAAATAATTCAATGAGCACTACTTTAATTTAAGATGTACAGCTTATGGGCTACATTTTGCCCGTACCCAATTCCCCTGCCCTTGGACAACCGTGATTCATCCTCGGCACCCCAATGAGAGGCACCACATTAACCACAACACTGGCAGGCAAGCAATGTGAGCAGCATAAAAGAACTCGCAGAGGCACGCGCAAATAAAATAGCCCGCTGATAACTCTTCAAGCAGTGGCAGCCCTTTTGGTAAGCAAAGACAAGCATTGGGGATGAAATTCCCTAATTTGATCTACTTAACAAATTTTTTTTTTTTGCCAAGTAAGGCCCACTGAGCTATACAGCTCTTTTTCAGAAGCGACCTGACCACAAATTATAGCTCAACGGAGTGGCTTATCATATGGAAATGTAAAGCAGCCAAATACTCTAAAACCGGAGGACCTGGAGATAAATCGGCACGACCACGGAGATGACACAATCTCCAAATATACAGCAGGTGAAAGGGTCGGGATCAACCCCATGACCTGCATACTCGGCGAGGTAGTTAACATCTCCCCATCTTATTTTCGCTTGGTCAATCTCAAGGCCCGATGCATACTGCAGACTGCTTATAAGTACTTCGTGAGTCCACAGTTCAAATTTGGGCATCCCTGATGTAAATCAATCGCTTGTGCGATAGCCCCTGATGGGCCTACCTGCTGCTTCTCATTGAAGCTTCAGAGAGGGAGCGTTATGCTCACCACCACAGATGCTTTGGAATGTAAAAAATGAACGTATGCTCCAAATTTAAAGAAATATTGCACTGTGCATTCGAGGCAGTTTTGTTTGCAAAAATATACGTCAACAATAGCATTTGAAAACTGATCTGTTTACATCACAACACCTTGCACAATAAAAGTACATGATCCGCAGTCACACAATTTACGTCCTTATTTGGTAAAATTGCACTGTGTTACTTTGATTTATTGTATTGCTAAAATGGTACACAATGCATACAACATTTGCTGATATTCCACACATGAGAAGAAACTCAGGATATATACATATTTTTTCAGATCATGTTGTATAAAATAAATGACTTTAAATACGATACTGTACTATATTAAATTTCAAATAAACAGCATTTCCGCCTTTTTGTTTAGAAAGGGATAAAAAAAGCCCTGCATTTTCAGTGCTCAAATGTTTTCATGACATAATATTCTTTAAAAAAACAATCAATGGGCTTTGGCAGCTTTTACTGATTTTTAAATACTGCATAATGAATGTTCAATAAACCCTTTCGGAAAGCAAAGCCCAAATTTAGATGTGTGAAAATAATTAGTATTTTAATCACTTATGTAAAATTCAAATAATGACTGCCTAACTCTGGCAGATATTGAATTGTTGTCAGTAAATATGACATATCCATAATGTTTTGTTGTGAATAAATGTGCACGTGCTGTGTGCATACATTCACCACCTTCATTTCATGACAATATTCTTCCGATCAAGATTATGAGAACAGAACATTATAGACAAACTGTTTTCGGAGGCACTTGTGCTAGCACTATACCACTTACCCACTGGTATTTCTTGCCATTGCATAGTATTAACATGTGCCATATTTAATATAAAACACTGAACATATCGTACACTATAAGTAAACACGATTCATTTGAAAGAGAAAAAAACTATAGACAGAACATTTGCCACATGCTTGGAAATAAACGGCAGTTCTTAGCCACGCAAAGAGGGTTGTGCGTTTTTTCATCTCATTTCATTCAGACACCTATCGTCGGTGCAAGTAGTCCCAAGCCTACCTTCCACCTCCTGTATATGAGAAAACTCCTTCCTACTGGCGATACAACAGCCCAACGTTCCACCACAGCTTTCATTTTCGACTGGATTGTCATACACGTGTGGCTGTTTGTGCTTACATGCATGTGCGTATGTGTGCTTGTTGCACATTAAATGTAATAATACATAAGCACGCATCGGTGTGTGTAAGCACCCACCCGCGTGTTCCCATCTGTAGTTTGTGTTCACGCCTACAGCTACACATACACGCATGTGCCTTATGCACACTTTTGCTTGCATAGACCAGCTATGTGGTCGATCAAAACAGGATCTAAGAATTTCTCATATGACGTGGGGCTATCTGTCTTCATACAGATGCACAGATTTTTCCCAAATACCTCTGCTTGAGAGAGCCATAGCAGGGCTTTAAACTGTGCTGATCATCCCTAATTACTTTTCAATATTGCAGAACCATTATAAGGCATATTCTTGGTTCTTTTGGTAAAGTCACGTAGAAAAGAAATAATAAAATAATAATAAATTTTAAACAATAAAAATTCTCACGACTTTTCGACTGCAACACAAGCAATCATCATCAGGTGTCGATTTCACATCGTCGTGAGAATTTTTATTGTTTATTGTTTATATTTTTATTATTTTATCATTTCCTTTATACGTGACTTTACCGAAAGAACCAAGAATATGAATCCCTGCAGTCACGAAAGCTTTAAATCATTATAAAGCACTCGTATTACTCTGGTGCTGCAACATTTCAATCAAACAAACTTGTAAGTTTAGTGAAGGCGACATCTTTAGTGGGGCTGCTGTGCACGAATGCACCGTGGTTGAAATTTCAAGGTAGCGTGGCTTCTTCCCACAACCCCGCGAGACTCATATATCATTCATGGGCACTTGTGTGCATTTGACAGCTTTTGTTTGGAAGTGCGCACACAACCTAACCGCACTTCGTGTTCGCCTGTGATGCTCCCATCATTACATCCGCCCGTCCCTTTCCGAAAATGCAGGCGCGAACTGCTACGCGGACACGCGCGTCATCCCTGCCGGACACGAAGTGAGGATCGACACGTGCACGGTGTGCTCGTGCCCACTACCCGGCAACAGCGGCTATGCGGACCGGCAAGCCGTGTGCATCAAGCAAGACTGCCAAGGCAGCTAGCCCTGCCGAGCGGTGCCGTCGCAGAAAACCTGACGCGGCCCGCAAGCAGCATCCAGCACCTCCCGAGGGTGCAGTTGAGTGTCCATCAGACCTGGAATGGCAGTGTAAAGAATGTATGTAAAAAAAAACTATGATAATACTAATAGTATCCTATATTAAAAAAGTCTAAAAAATCGAGCATTTCAAAGAATATTTATATTCAATGTTGTTAATTGCTATTCCATTAATAAAATAAAACACTTCAAATTAGTATACATGTGATTAATAGCTAACTGTTAATAAGTTACACAAAAATTTTATGATATTATTTTTCGTCGTGCTTTGTATATATGTAGGGTTGGACAATTATTTATAAGTAAGGGTATGCCACAGTTTTGCATTGTAGTTCGTCCAAGGGGGCAGTGCCCATGAGTGGTGGATGGAATACAACAATTGCTGAGACCGTTTGATGGTGGGGTTATGGCAAGAGAGATGTGGGGCTGCGCAAGGATGGGTAGCCAATCAGGCCAACCGTTTTCTCTAGTACATCGTTGCCTAACCACTTTTGAAATGTGCCTGCATTAATTTGTCAGAACAGTGCAGCAATCCAGACCTGCCAATTCTAATCAAAACAGTGAATGTAACCTGCATCATTCGTCTAACCTTTACACAGTATGAGTACTCTGGTTTTCCCGTTTCCTTGACTGGTGAGGAAATGAATAGAGGTGAATAACCTGTGGCGACTTAGCTGGCATGGAATTTTAGTTTCGTATTTGGTTTGGAACGCATTCCACTCATGTGCAAAAGTGTGTGCATTCAGTTTGTGCTCAGATTAAAAAGGTTAAAGATTTTGTAATGTTAGTAAAACCCATTTAAAATTACCTAATAATAAATAAATATAGTTGATTGGCATAGCACATTTTAAACGGTAAATGTATCCCAAAAGTCTTAATATCCTATTTATCGGTCTGTATTATAATTCTTGGCTCTCCACCAATGTCCGAATATGGACCACGTGACATGCATGGCTTTTGGACATTATTTAAACTGTGGCTTTAGAACTCCCTTGTTTTTGCTTGTGTTTTATTTTAGATAAAAAGGTCAGCAATGTGACTTACCATATTAGATAATAAATATGTCATTTATATATGTAACTTCCAATGCATAGCTGAAAGGAAACAGTTCTCTTCAAACATTAATGTATAGTATATTCATGAAAACTCCTCTTATTTACGACTGTTTTAACCGTGACTCCTATTATCCATGGGAGCTGTAGGGTCTGCATAAGCTCCTATTATCCGTATCCCAATCCTTACAAGTATCCACCATCATCCGCAATTTGTCCCATCAGTCAATGTGGAATGGCAAATAACTCCAATAACTTGAGACCAATGCAAAATGTATCGTATAAAAAAATGCTGCGGGTGACACACACTTTAAATCAACTGCCACATACAGGCGACACGCATAGACATCTGGATCTGGCTTCAGGCCTGGCAAATCTAGGGGTATCTGCAGATTATCCATGGATAATTACCGGCCCTATTTCCCAGCCTTGGCTGCCGGAAAATGAATCGTAAAATTATCCTCACATGCTTTGCAGATTATTGGAATTGAATGGCAAATAATTTCAATTATCTACGATTTTTCTCACATTTTTTTCCTGTGGATGAGTGGGGTAAATTTGCACCCGATCTTGGATAGAGAGTGGATGGTTAGTTGGGCATTGTTTGCATATTGTTTTGCTATAAAATAAATTGTATTGTACTTTTACGGTCCAGCATCAATGCGTTTCGCCTTCACCGACGCGAAATGACCAGTGTGATAAAGTATGGTCAAATAACACACAGGAAAGATGCTCTCATCCAGCAGTGGATTGAAAATGGGCTGTGTATGTACACACACATATACACCATATATATATAAGCTACATTTGTTTCTGTCTTACAATTATCTTCTTGAAATTACACAAAATATTAAGTGGAGCACTTTAATGAATTTAGAGCATATGTATGTCTAATATTACAAACCAGCTATATAGAGTATAATGTTATTATAGTACAGCTGTCGTATGTTTGAATACTAATAACTTTTGTTGCAGCACATATGGATACATTCAAACAATAAAGTTACTCCATGACTGACCCTAAATGGTTAAAGTTGGCCAACCTACTTCTGCTTTCTGTTAAAAAAGTTCATTCATTTTCTAACAACTTGCAATCCCAGGTAACTGGATGATTATTTTCAAGAAACAGAAGAGCGGAACTGATGTATCTAATTTGGGTGCATTAGGAGCTACAGGAAAATGTTCTGATAATTAACCGTTCAAAACAAGATGAGTAAAAGACACAGCAATTATTAGAATCTATAGGGATTCATGAAAATAAATTATTAACATCTTCACCAAACAATACAATTTGGAGTTGTGTAGCCTCTAAATACAACCACATTTCAAGACACCCAGAAATTGGACAAACCACTTAGGTATTTACATTTACCAACAATTGTACAATCCGAACTCATGGATTATTTTAAAGTAATTACCTTATTATGGGAAAATTATGTCAATAGAACACGAAGTAATGTGAAAGTCCCAATAAGGCAAGGTCTTTGTGTTAGATTCAGCTATTTATGTGCCCAGCAATTGCTAGGTGACCTCATTTGGCTGATGTCACGATTGTGCAAGCATTGATTGTCACTTATATTGGTGTGTGACAGCAACGGTTGTTGGTGAATGAATATAATTCCGTTTTACAGTCTAGTAATTGTGTTTGTGTGTAAATGTTCATTACAAATAATGATAAGGAAACATTCTGCCGGTTCTGAAAAATAAGTGGCTGTAATAGTTGTTTATTGCTCTTTATACAGTATTTTTATTATCTGTAACTCTGTAAACACAACCAGTTCCATCGTTCCAGTTGTAAATTTCAAAACAATATAAAATATTTGATGTCTGCAAACTGTTCATGTGTCGTGTAAATGTATGCTTGGCTTCAGAAACTGTATGCTAAACTCAATTTATGAAAATATTTTCTTACATTTTGTTACCATTTTTTAAATTGCCCGAGTGGAATTTATATTTAAACTACTCAAACCAGGTAAGCCCGCTGACCTATTCGCTCTTTGTTCAGGAGCGATCTCCTGCATACAAGGCGTGGGAGATAACATCTCGTCACAACGGCATGGTGAACTGAATTTCACAATATGATAATTGGTTTTTCCCCTTTTTTTCTGGCAACAAAACAGAATCATGTCTGCATTGATTCCTTGTAAAAGGTTTCGGTTTGGTAATTTAACATCTTAACACCTGTTTTGTTGCCAGAAAAAGGGGAAAAGCCTATTATGATATTTTGGTACTGGCAAAGGAGGTCCCATGATGAATTTCACAAGTTTACATAACCTCACTATTTATTGCTCCAAATAAAAAATATATATGACGCAGCTTTTAGAAAACATTACATAGAGCTTTTCATAATCATTATCAATAAATAACAAATAACCTGTAGACGACGATACAATTTATTTCAAAAAATTGCTATATGCAGTTTGAACTCACTCAAATGTAGCTATATGGTTGGACGTGGGACAACATCGTGTGTGTACTGTGTGATATACCACTACACGTAAACTGTGTGTGCGCGCTACTCGGCAGGCAGCTGTTTCATGCGGTTTGATTTTGTGCACCTTTTTTTTGGAACGCATCTACCGCAAAAAGCGAGGAAAACCTGCAATTAAAAGTACCTTCTATTGATAGGGTATTCAAGATTTAATTATAATTAGTCATTTATGGTATGACAATAACAATGTATAAAACGAGCTTCGCATTTTTTTCAAATACAGTATATAAGGAAGACATTTACAAAAAATTAACCCGTAAAAACAAAGTTTTTCACTATAAATCCTTTATATGCGTGGCGGCTAGAGTCCTCTCGTCCTCTGGCTTGAGATGGCTGCCACCTATGGGTCAGATGATTGCCTGGCACCATTAAGCAATTGGTAATTAAATATAAAAAAAAATTCCTAAAAAGTGTAAACATTTTGGAAAAATTTTTCACGAAAATTAATTGTCAAGCACAACGAGTCTGTGTGGAAAATGTCAGCTCGATTGGATCACGGGAAGTGGGTTAAAAAACGACCGAAAGATTTGCACGGTCGTAAGCGCGCAAGCAAGTGAACTTAATATAAAGGATTTTTAAAAATAAAATGACGTTAAGTGAAATAACTTGGTGTGTACAGAAAATTTGTATATGTATGCGAACAAATTAACGTGAAAAAAGCTGCCCAAATTAAGAATGTACTATTGTCACATGCGTACCTCCCATTGAGAAAAATGTTTTTGTAGAATTAACCAAGATGGCCATACTAATTCATGAAAAAATACGCAATAAACATTGAAGATTGCTTTCGCCAAGCTTAAAACACGCTGTTACGCCTTGAGTTTAAAACATAATTGAACTAGTATCCAATGTTTACAGCTTGCGATTTCTTTCCAACCTCATTGTGGTTAGGGCAGTGTGGTCTGCATTGTACAAACAGTATAGTATAAGTGCGTAGATGTAATTCGTGATGACCAAAAAATATCCCATTAGATGCACGAGGAATGTGTCAAATGTTGTACATTTCATCTGTGTCTCGTAACAACATTTTGCTGCTCAGACCAGCAAGTCAGTGTTGAAAAATAAACATTTCTATGGCAAGGGCCAGTCTCTTTCAAGGACAACCACTATTGGCTTTCTCCAAAATGGTACTTACTTTTTTTTACCCCGAAGGGATGATGGGATGGGTCAACTCCTGACCAGAATTTCAAACGCATGTGCTTTTGAGAGGTGAGCACTCTAACTGCTGACTGGAATTCAGAGATACAACTGATGCAATAAAACACTGCATTAACTGAAGTGTTTTCTGCGTATGCATATCCGACCATCATATAGCTGCCCTGACCAATGAACTGCAAACATCCAGTATTTGTGTATTCTCTATAGACATGAACACGTAATCTCATGTGTTCATTTATCAAGTACAACAACGCATTTCAAATGCGAGGGCCGTGTGCACTTCAATGTTATTCATACTATAATATTGTTACATGTGTAGTGACTAACTTGGAGACGATAAGACTTGGAGGCACTTATCTATTAACAGGCACCATCGGGGTTAACAGTCTTAATAAGTAATCCGTCTATTGTCGGCGACGCTACTCAGCCAGGACAGTTGGTAGGCTGCCTGACTCGCGGCGCCCCGAGATGGTAACGACGGAGACGACGTCGAGAAGAATAGTGAAAACGACAAGAAGAATGATGAAGACGACAAGAATAATGGTGACTAAGGACTGCAGCAGCATGACGGGGATTATACTCTTTGGTTTTTTCGGTAAAGTCACGTAGGTAAAAAATAAAATGAAATAAATTAAAATAGCTACGTTCAATCACGACGTTTCAGGCGCAACACAAGCGTCCTTCTTCAGGTGGGGACAACGTAGCGAAATCACAACTGCTTAAGTGTGTCTAAGGAGATGGCTGTGATGAGGAATTATATAGTCGCGGGGGATGGAGGGAGGGAAGGGGCCATGTGAGTGTGTGGGTGCGCTGTGGACCGAAGAGGCAACGTAGTGAGGCACGGGGGGGGGGGGGGCGCTGGGAGGCAACTCATGGAGTTCAAACTGAAGCTTTGTGATGCAGGGGGCGGAAGTAGATGAGAAAGCTAAGATTAAGCAGCCTTTTGTTATGCTGCCGGGGGGGGGGGGGTAAATTAGAAATGCACAAGCTGAAAACAACGTGTGGTAATTGTGATGTAGTGTGTGAAACTGGGGGTAACAGACTGGGAATATGGATATGATTATGAAAATAAATCTAAACTGGCTGTCTAGCAGTAAACTGCACGGCAGCTAAAGTTTAACTTGGTTAATTACATCCTGATGTAATAAGAGCCTAGGTCAGATTCACGTGGTGATCGGCTTGGCCGGTCCCGCTTTACAGCCAATGGGGGAAGAGCCTGGGAGCATGGCCCCAGCGTGATCACGGGATGTCAGCTAGGTGATTGGTTCTGCTGGTCTTGGCCTCAGCCAATGGGAAGACAAGTCAGGGGCGTGGTCCCGGGAGTTGATGGGGGATCTGGAACATTCGGCACAGGCTATTGAGGATTGGCTGGAGGGTACCACGTGACCCAGGCATTAAATAAGGGGAGAGAGGAGAGACACGGGGTCAGACACGGAACTAAGAGAGGGAGAGGCCACGCGCGAGTGGGGCTCTGGGTGCCACGTGGTGGTGGGTCTCTGGTGACTGTCTGCCCACTTCCCGTTGCCTGCCAGCAACGGGGAGTGTTTGTGAACTGCAAAGGAAGTGAAATAAAAGGACCGATTCTACAAGCCGTCTCCAGCGTGTTATTACACTTCCAATGATTGCTCAATTTGAATCCATCCTCTCGGTTGAAGTTACGTCTATGTTTGTATATCTGGACTAGCTGTACTACCCGGCTTCGCCCGGGACTTGTATCTACCACGGCCGGCCGCCTTTGTCTCCCCAGTGGCGATGTTAATACGCTACAGCAGTTACTCGTTTGAGGCAGAGTCGACCTAGGGGAGGTTAAAATAATCGTCACCGGTGGTGGCCGTGAGCGGGAATCGAACTGGGTTTGCCGTGTTGGTAGCGCAGCGTAGCGTTAAGCACTACACCCACCGCTCCTCACACACCACACACGCACACACACAGACACACACACAGACACACACACAGACACACACACACAGACACAGGCAGCACGCTAAGCACTACACTACCGTTCCCCCTACACAACACACGCGCGCGCGTCCAAAGGTACACATACACGCGCTTGCTGCAGACACACACGACTTTCAGGGTGCGTACGGCAGTAAACGACTGAAATAATAAAGCGGCAATGCTGTGTAAGGAACGCCTTAGACCCGCATTACACATTTGTGTAATGCGAGCGTAAACACACAAACACACACGAACACATACACAATACACACACACATACATGCAGACACACAGACAGACACATAACACACATACATACACACACATACAAACACAGAAACACATACACACACATACATAGACACACACATACACATCCACAGACGTACATACACACATACATACAGGCACGCAGACATACACATAAACACATACAAAAAAACCCACATACATACACACACACATACATACACACAAACACATGCACACACATACATACACACATGCATACAGACACACAGACATACACATAAACACATACACACATACACATGACCCGGCTTCGCCCGGGACTTGGATCCACCACGCCCGGCCGCCTTTGTCTCCCCAGTGCCGATGTTAATACGCAACACCAGTTACTCGTTTGAGGCTGAGTCGACCTAGGGGAGGTTCAAATAATCGTCACCGGTGGTGGCCGTGAGCGGGAATCGAACTCGGTTCGCCGGGTTGGTAGCGCAGCGTAGCGTTAAGCACTACACCCACCGCTCCTCACACACCACACACGCACAGACACACACACAGACACACACACAGACACACGCAGACACACACAGACAGACACAGACAGACACACACACACACAGACACACAGACAGCACGCTAAGCACTACACTATCGCTCCCCACACACCACACACGCACACACACAGACACACACACAGACACACACACACAGACACAGACAGCACGCTAAGCACTACACTACCGTTCCCCCTACACAACACACGCGCGCGCGTCCATAGGAACACATACACGCGCTTGCTGCAGACACACACGACTTTCAGGGTGCGCACGGCAGTAAACGACTGCAATAATAAAGCGGCAATGCTGCGCGAGGAACGCCTTAGACCTGCAACACATTTGTGTAATGCGAGCGTAAACACACAAAGACATACAAACACATACACACACACACATACACACAAACACACACACACACATACATACACACATAC